TCCATCCATCCATCCATCCATCCATCCATCCATCCATCCATCCATCCATCCATCCATTCAGTCTGGAGCCACTAGCTCTCCAGCGTTCCTCCATCTGCACCAGCTGAGTGAAGCGAGCGTGCACGGGAGGACTCGCTGTTGCAGTGCTTAGAAATTTAAGGCATCAGTCAAAAATTGCATTATGAATATTAAAAAAATATATATAAATTGCAGGACTGACGAATCTATGCAAAAAAACTGTGACGTATACACTGGAAAATACGGTAATTATTTTATTTTATTATTACCCAACAGTTTCAGCCGAAATGCAAAAAGTTTGATGTAAAAAAAAAAAGAAAAGAAAGAAAATCTAAAATCAAGTTTAAAGCAGTTTTAGTTCATTATCTACCGTCAGATTAAACCGGCATGAGCCGTCATCATTTTCCTGGTGGCTCTACGAGGTTTTTAATAGCAGTCTAAATAAAATCAACTCGTTTGGATGCTGATGTGAAAAAACTGATTCATCTGACGAGCTTCGTGTGTGCGGAGGTTTGGGATCGTTTCTCCACAAACATGTGAGCAACTCCGGAGCAGTTTTGTCTTTCTCTGTTACTTCAACACACCTGAGGCCCGAGCTGCATCAGGGGAGACGGAGACTCACCCAGAGGGGGTAGGAGGTCTTCAGAGGGTCTTGTGACGAGGTGTGAGGCTGAGACGGGGAGGGAAGGTCACCGGGTTGAGTCAGAGGCTGATGCTGAGGCCAGACAAAGTCATACTCTGTCTGCATCTCCGAGAGCTTCCTCCTCCGGATGATCTGAAATACAAACGAAGATGTTTCTTTTCTAAAGCACTGAAAGGGAAAGTAAATTCCTGAAACTGCTCTTTCAATTTAAACGTTTCTCTCTCTCCTTCAGGCTGTAGGTCCCGCTCCTTTCACAGCAGCGTCAGCTACATGGATTCTCCTCCTCCATTTTGCTGTTTCGTGTATCGTCTGTTGTGAGATGGAGTGTCTTCATATCCTGCTGGATCAGATCCATCCACCTCTTCTTCTGCCGTCCTCTGCTTCTTTGACCAAAAACTTATGCACTGGATAGTCTTTTTTACCTTGTTGTCATCTTCCATTCACTGCACATGCCCACACCATCTCATTCTTGATTTGTGTATCTTGTCCGTGATGCAGGCCACGGCAAGCGTTTTTCTGACATCATCATTTCGCCGTCTATCCTTGAGGGATGCTCCAAGAATCCCTCATATCACCTGCATTTCTGTTATTTTCAGGAGTTCCTCTTCCTTTCTCTTTAATGTCCATACTCAGCTCCACAAAGTATCATGGGCGCACCACCATCTTGTACACTTTCCCTTTAATATGAATCAACATCCTTTTGTCACAAAGCACTCCTGTCAACTCCTTCGCACCAATTCTGCGTTTAACGTCTTCGTCACAGCTTCCTTCAACATTTATCACTGACCCCAGATACTTGAACATTTGACCTGCTTCAGTACATTTCCTCTAATATCAGTAACTGTTAAGGTCTCGTTAGCTTTCGAGCAGACCATGGTCTCTGTTTTTGCTGCGTTTATTTTCAGACCTTTAACTCTCAAGCGCCAACGTCTGAACCTATCTTGGAGATTAACTTCAGAATCTCAAGCCACAACTAGGCCATCTGCAAACAACACATCCCACGGCACTTCTCTTCTAAAAAGCTCAGAAACTGCATCCGTCACAACAATAAACAACAGTGGGCTGAGACATACACCCTGATGAACGCCAACTTTAATCTCAAACATTTACATTTAAACGTTTGAACTGTTTCAAACCATGTAAAAGGAGAAGAAACATTAAAACCCCACAGACTCAGATGACCTACTTTTTGTACGATTGTTGTGGCGAGTTCCTCTATGAGCTCCTCTCTGTGGTCCTGCAGATAACGAGCTTCATTCTGCTTCTCCTTAAAACACACACGAACACAGCATCTACGTGAGTTACCAAGAGAACAGGTGCAGGAAAGTGACGGAGGAGGCCATCACTGAGAAATCGGGATAAAAAAGAATAAATAAAAGAGAGGAAGGCGATGGAACGAAGCGACAGCTCACCAAACTGTCTCGAAACGCCTCGGCCTTTGCGATGGCCTCTTCTATAGCCTCCTCAGCGACCCGCAGGGCGACTGTGAGGGTCTCTGCCATACTGTGTCCTGTTAAACACACACACCATGGTGAACTAGTTTAACAGGGATGAGCATAAGCATAAATATATTTATTTCATTTAAATAAATTTGGTTCTATATCTTAAATTTTCTCTCCGGTACCTCTACAGGTTCCTGAACGTCACATTTAGCTCCATCAGCAGGTCAAGACATTTTATCTTCTTTTTCAAAAATTGTGAACTTTTATGAGCGCTGCACTTGAACATTATACTGTGCATACCATAGTTGTGTTAAATACTTTTTACTCATCTTCTGTCAGCGGCAGATTAATTTTCAAACAAAGAATAATATGTTCGGTAGATGCAGAGCAGCCGAAGTGTTCACCCGGCGGTTGAAGTAAAATTACTATTTATTATGCAGAAAGTAGCAAACTGAACACAAAAACATTAATTAAATTATAGACTGCAGGAAAACAAAAGCCAAAGTAAATGTAAGTAGTCTATATACATATATTTACAGTGAGTACATGAAAAGACCAAATGTCTGTTTTTGAGCAGGCTGCTCCTGCAGGACTGCAGCTGATGCAACATGGCCGACATCCAGGAAATGACCCGCGACACTTCTTTATATAATAAAATATAACTTTTTGTTTCAACCTTGTTGTGCAGTGATCTAAAAGCATTGGATTCAGTTTGTGTAGATTAATCAAATGATACACTTTACCACCGGTATCAATTATAATCCTAATCCTAAAAAAACCATCATGAGGGTGTTGAAGGAATAACTTCTGATGTGGGATCCTTGTTGTCGTTTACTTAAAACACAAAACTATGACAGCTGTTGACACCTGATCTGTGAGCTAAATGTTTTTTTTTTAATAATCTAACAGACAAGAAATGTGTTTTATTTGCAAACTGCATAAAGGAAAGGTTCAAATCATTTAAAGCACAGACAGCATCCTACCTGCAGCAGATAGCTCCATAAACAACAATCTTAAACATTTTAGAGCGAATTGTGGAGAAAATTTATTACTTTTTATTAATAAACCTCGGTGAAGTAATTAAGAACTTAAACATATCCTTTTTATTAGAAAAGTCAGACAGAAAAGCATCAGCTGTCTGAGGAAGAAGCTCAGCAAACATATCATTTATACAGATACCAGGGCATAACTTTGTATCTGATAATCCTAACGTCAGGAGGACAACTTCATATTTTGACCAGGACCGTAAAGAAATACCACGTAGAACATCACATCTCATAGTACGCACACTAAGTTGTATGAGAACATATTTTAATGTTAGCAAAATAATAAACAAATATTCACAGTTTATGAGAATGCTAATCTACAAAGCATTATAATGGTGTTATTTTTACAATAAAGTGTTATTCACATGGATTTCAGTACATATTTAGAAGCACATGTGGCAGCAGCAGCTAGCTGTGGCACTTCCTGTGCAGCTGAGGGCCTTTCTGCAGCAACATTATGTTTCAGAACGAAGCTGACATGAAAATATTTGAGACTGGAGTTGTTTTAAGACGGTGGGGGGTTAAACTAGCCGTTAGCTCGTCAATCAAACAATTTCCCCAAACTGAGGTTATTCACAGAGCCATCTGCAACAGATAAGATGTTGATCGTTTACACATTTTCCACAGAACTTTACTTTTTAAAAGCTGCTGTTATCCAAAAGTCCAGCTGAAAACGCAGAAACAATTTGCATCACCAATAAACAATAAACTCATCAGATTGATTTAATTATAGATTTGCTCTCGAGACATTAGCTCTTGTGTCTGCTGGAGGGGGGGTGGGGGGGGGGTGGTCCTTTCATACGATTTGTGAGCGAGCATGTCTGCAGTTTGTGTTTATCAGGGGGATTTGTGTGCATGTGAATGTAATCTAATGATTAAAAGAGCAGAGCATCACTCCCTGCAGTTTTCAGCTATTTCAACAAATCATAAATCAAAACGTTCGGCTCTTTCAGGACAACCCTGCTGTGACTTTTGGTACTGATGCAACTTTAGCTTTTTTAAATATTTAGCCTTTTCTGCCATTTTGTTCTCATAGAAAATGAATTGAGCTCATTTTACCTCCTTCAAACCTTTAGACCTGTTTACAACCTTTTACTGCTCCTTTCACATTTTATTCTGCTTCAGCTTCTTTCAGCTTCCTGTTGCAAATTTAAACTTTTTCATCTTCTTTCAGCTAGTTTCAGCTGTTTTTTCAGCTGTTTTGTGATGCTTTCTGATCCTTTTTTTGCTAACTACAACATGTTTTTTCTTATTCAAACTTCTTTCTGCTAATTTCAGCTTGTTATGCTCTTTTCAGCTTATTTCTGCCAGTGTCAGCTTTTTCTGCTCTTTCAGATATCATTTAGCCTTTTTTGTGCTAAATTGAGCATTTTCAGCGAATTCCACATTTATTTTTTTAGCTCATTTCAGCTCCATCCACTTCCTTCTGGTAGATGAAGCTTCTCTCTACATTTATGGCTACTTTTCAACTATTTTTTGTACTAATTTCAGCTTCTTTTAAGCTAATTTTCTATTTTTTGTGCTCATTTCAGCTTATTTAAACCTAATTCTGTAAAAATGTACTCTTTTTTCCATCTGCTAATGCTGCTTGTTCCTCCATTTCAGCTACAAGGACAGTGGGAGACATAAATCAAAAAGGCAGGGAAAGTGGTGTAAAATGGCAACGACACTGCAGACGGTAATTATGGCTGAAGTTAGATGGTATTTGTGGCTCAAGTTAGATGGTTTTGTGGCTGAAGTTAGATGGTATTTGTGGCTGAAGTTAGATGTTATTTGTGGCTCAAGTTAGATGGTATTTGTGGCTCAAGTTAGATGGTATTTGTGGCTGAAGTTAGATGTTATTTGTGGCTGAAGTTAGATGGTATTTGTGGCTGAAGTTAGATGGTATTTGTGGCTGAAGT